GATTTTCTTTTCATTTATTTCTAATGTCATGTAAAGTCAACATAGGAAATCAAGGTTTACAGCAAAATGTCTGACTCACCATGACTGTGCCTTTAACTTCCATCATGACAAAAACCGCTCCCACTGTTCTACTCCAGTAGGTGGCGCTGTTGCGTTGAGCTGCTATTGGCTGCGGCGGCAGACTCATGACATGATAGAGGACAGTCAAAGCAGCTGCTGGACTGACAGTGTCTTCACGATGGACCCTGCTCGTCCTCCTCGGCTGAACTCCGTCAGAAACAACCACCTGACCGAGGAAGAGGCACAAACATCTGGAGACAACCCAACATCTGGATCTGCTCAGGGACACTCCGCTGGTCCTCAGGCAGGAGACAGACAGCCTCAGTAGTGAGTCCCCACTTTGAATTCTTATTCATTCTTATCTACTTCTTCACGAAGTCTGGGACAGAGACAGCTTGAGCTGAATTCTCTAACTGATCAGGTTTTAGTTGTCGCAGGTTTCTCTGCTCTTCTTCTTCTTCTTCTTCTTCACTTTCACTTTCGTTTCCTGCGTTTCGAAACATAAATGCTGCCTTCACTGTTCCATGTAAATTCCAGATGTGTGTCCCCTCTGTGGCTTCGGAGGTTTAACCCGAAATAAATCATTTAGAAAAATAAAACGGACAGTGATAAACGGGATGTGGTTTAAAGTTACATTTGAATCCACGAACTCCTCCTCTGATGTGAAAATACTCCGTCACTCCTGCTGCAGTTTGAATTGAACAGAATGATAAGAGTCAGATCTCCCCTGAACGCAGCATCATATCATCATATCATTATTTTTAATGTGAAGCTCATTCTTGATGTTTCCCTGTGAGCTCGTGTTGTATCGTAAAAAGTAAAAATACTTGAGTAAAGTAAAAATACTACAGCTTATACTCAGAATTTAATAAATCACTTAAACATAAACAAAACAGTTTCTCCGACTTTCATCATCGAGCTTTTGATCTTGAGTCAAATCTTGAATTTTATTGAGTTCAATAGAACGTAAGACGACTGACAGAGCAGGGAAACTTGTTTACTGATGAGCTCCTTGTGTTTCAGCTCAGGTGCATTCACCATGTTCCCTCCTAATGAAACCAGACGGAGCCAAATACAAATGGGTAGGGCTGACACTGACGCCGCTTTCCACAATCCCACCTCCTGTATTTTCACTATTGTTTTTTGATCCTTCTACATATTGGAGTTTTCGTCCCACCTAATGAAGTACTCTGTTGTTGTTGTAGTGGCTCAAAGAGGAGAAGAGATGCTTCAGAGGCAGAGAGAGGCTCAAAGAGTTCCATACGTGCAAGTGACGCCAGAGACGCTCGGTAAAACAACGCTTCACATTCACATCCGAGCACCCAACCATATTTAAAACATCACATTTACTCTGTCATGTCTACTCTGATGTGGTGAGACCTGCTGTTCTATTATTAAAGGTGGCAACGCAACACTGGCTGAAGTCAGACAGAAGCAACAGATGGATTTACGTTGCTCCAAAGTGCAGAAGAGGGTACGAGCTTCATCAGCTGTATTTACATTTAACTATATATATATATTAATCCAGAATATTACAAACATATGGTGCAATGAAACAAACCAGGGCTGACAACTGAAGTAAAATGTTTCAGGCCGTTACTTTTACATTTTTCTTTAACGTGACAAATAAATGTTTAACATAAGTTGTTGTTTTTACAGATGAAACAGAAAGAGTTGGACGAGAGGAAGAGAAAAGAAGAGGAGGAGAAGCAACAGAAGATGAAAGAAGAGCAGAGGGAGAAGGTGAGAAACGATCAGCTACTTCTTTTTTATAATTTCTTTTAATTTGAAACGAACGTTCAGTTGGACTCAAAGATGAGCTGATTAGAATTTAAAAGTCAATCAAATTCAATCATACTCACGAATCTGAATTTGCCTCGTAAGGCTCAACAAGGTGCGACGCTTCTCTGCCCTAAGTTCTGACTGGAGGTCAAAGGTCACAGTGATCTCATGTGAGTGGATAAATGTGCATACGACCTCGGTGCCCCAAATTCATCATCTATGAAAATAAAGCATTCATTCCTTTCATAAAAATCACCCACTAACATATTTCTATAACAGCGAAGACTCAACTTTAAAATGAAGTGATAATTTGCTTGGTTTGGCGTCTCTTCCGTCCCTCGGCCCCTCCAACCTGTTTCTGTTTCGGTCAGCTCATGGTTTCCTGTATTTCTCAGAGTGCTTTTTGACAAACCCCAGAGTCCCACGTCAGGAATGCGCCGCGCTCAGGCTCGAGGGCTGAGGCTGCTGGTGGAAAGAGAAATTGCAGTTTCAATAGTTAGAGTAAGAGATGCGCCTCTCACTGAGGCTGCAGTGCATTCTGGTAAAATTGTTGAAGGTTTGCACGAAGAGAATCTCAATCTCAACTCTGATCATTTAAAGAAAGAAATGTTTTAATTCAGTTAAATGTTTATAATCTGAACCAGACTCTATCCTACAAACTCAATAAAAACAAGGCCCAGTGAGCCGTCAGGTTCAAACCCACAACCTTCTTTTTCTTCTTCTTCTACTTTCATTCTTCCGGGCCACTGGACCACCATGCCGACAGATCTCAATCCATTATTTAAAGGAACATAGGTTCACATGGCGGGACTCGAACTGTAAAACCTTCTAGCTGGGAGGTGACAGGCCACTGTACCACTGTGACACAAAGTCAATCCTTAAAGACATGATTAGAATAGCCATGAAGTTCAACTCCCGACACACTGACAGCACTTCCTTCCTGTTAAATGTGTTGATAGCAGCCACAGACCTTTTCCGTCAGAGGTCAGAGGTCACCCCAGGGTCACGGAGGAACAGGTGCATCAGACAAAGTGGACACTGCATCAAAAGGACACGAACAAAACAGACAACAAGACAAAAGTTTTCCAGCATTTAAAGAATCATGGTCAGAAAATGACGTGATTCCCTCAAACAGAACCATGTTCGGCCTCTAGATGTCAGTGGAGACAAGCGTCAGTGCTGCTGTGCACCTCTCCGCCTCTTGTCTCACAACAAACCAACGACCTCATTAATGTTCTCGTGTGTTTCCAGCCCCTGTCTTTGCTTTCACACGTGTTCTCCTCCATGTCTCCCTCCGTGCTCGTCCTCTAATAGCAGTTAATGGACCGCTACTGTTAATGCGGAGGGGTGATTGATGCCTAGGACCGAAGCGGTTCTCCGCAGACCCTTTTTCCTGTTGCGCCATGACCTCTGTGAAGCCATAGGAATGTCCTGCTAATCCAGCAAGTAGACGGATGCATGTGAAACCCGAAGACCCACTTCAGTTTGGGCAAGATTTGGACAGAGAGACTGTAAAATACCAGACCGAGGATTATTAAGTGTTTAAACCATAAAGACCTCGTCATCATTTTTACGAGTCATACTCACAGAAACACATCCCACGGTTCAGCTGCACACGTCAGAGCTGCCGCCATTTAATCTGAAATTTAAATTCAAATATTTGAAGTTACATGGAGATGAAGGATTTAGTGACTAATATATGTTTCATCACAACACTGCAAATAAAAAGAGGATGATTTGAGGAGGTTGATGCACCATAGTGAGTATTTTATACTTGAATTTATTTTAAATTGTGTTTATATATAAGTGTTGTTTTTATTGACTATTAGAATTCATTGATTGATGATTATTATCTAATTATTTAATTGGGGATTGTTCATACGCTATTAAACCTCAGCTCATGTTATCATAAGTTATGTTCTTTCATATCAGACGAGCATTGCAAGTACATGTGGGGTAACTGTGGCTGAGGGGGGTGAGTGGTCATCCTCTCACCGGAAGCTCGGTGGTTCGATCCCACTCTTCCCCCCTCTGCTTGCTGAGGTGTCACTCAGTCTATGCTATAACCGGAAGCTCAGCTCTCAAGTATCATTTTAAACGTCACCGTGCCCAGCGATCACAAAGCTGCACTCGTATGATGGCTGCGTGTTACGTGACCGCTGTGATGCGTTTGCAGGCCGAGCGCCAGGCGAAGAGGGAGGAGCAGGAGCAGCAGAGGAGGAAGCAGCAGTTGGAGCAGGATCACCTCAGGTCAGCCCTGGATCAGGTTCACCTGGGCCTCATCACTGTCACTGTGCGGTATTGTGTTGTTTTTGTGTTGTTCTTTCTTGCTCTGCAATGGATCTCGGTCGCAGCATCAGATGACACCATCTCTGGTGCTTTGCAAAGGAAGCGCCCGACGTCTGCTCCTCTGCTGACCTGTAATTATCAGTTCTCTGTTGTGTCTTTGTGAATACCTGGAGAGAAATGAAGAGCGGTGACATGAAGTTCACCTTTAGTTTCACCAACTAACGTGTGAACAGCCTGTTGTTTGTGAAGAGTATTATATTTAGTATTGTGTGGTATTTATACAGCAGTGTTCTAGTCTTGGTTCGTACAGCGCTGCACTTTCTCTGTCACACATCATTCGTTCACTGTCGGCACAATGTCAGGGGCAACGTGGGGTCGAGAGACTGGAATCAACATTCAACCAACTCTAGCTTCTGAGCCACAATCAGAAATGAAAAAAGAAAAGATATTGAACAGGATCAATTGACTTTCATAAAGTTAATTGATAAGTTGTATGATTTCATTTTGATCTAATGAGCTGGAAGATTTTTTACAATTCACCCTGAGGGGAACCTTTTGATATTTTGCTTTTTACACAGACTGGAAAGTGGAGACACACCACCTCTCTCTTTAGTCACAGTTCCTGAAGAGCCGTATAAACGTTACACAACTTACTTCTGTCAGTGGGAAAACTTGTCTACACAAGTTATTGATACCAAATTCTCCAACAGAGTTTTATTATGCATGGCTGACTCAGAGACAAAATTGTTTGTCAAGTAGCATCCCTGGCTTCCTGTCAAGACAAACACGAGAAGGAGACAGCCGAAGAATTTGTGAACCTGAGGAAAACAATGAAGACATTTAGAGAAGGGACAAAGGAGATGGAGTGGGACATGCTGGTGAACCGGGAGAGTGGTGTCAGCGAGGGACAAACAAACTTGGTCGACCTTGTGGGCCTGTGGAGTGTCTGTGGAGTAAATGAATCCCCCCGTCATTATTTTTGAAATGTGCATGTGTGTGTTTCCTGCAGGAAGAAGGACAGTTTTCTGCAGAGGTTTGAGAGGACAGCCCCAGATCCACTGTCATCCAGCGGTGCCACACACACGTCATCCAGAGTGAGCCAGCAACCGCATAATATCTGTGTGTGTGTGTGTGTGTGTGTGTGTGATGTATGTGCTTGTACACACTATGCATCCGTGTGCACATGTAGACATGTTATGTGCACACACACTTTTCCCAGGGTTCAGTGCTGAGCCTCATATCTGTGGCTGTGTGGTCGGAGCTCTGTGGTGCTTCACACCGGTACATCTGCGTCTCCGAGCTGTTTTCTGAGTAAATACCCTCGGGTGCGGAGTTTTCATCATCCAGGGCCGTGCAGGTATTAAGCAGCGTCCCCGGGTGGAGTGAGGAGCCCGATCCCCCCCGCTATCACCTCCTGGTCAGAGCCGAGGGCGTGGGGTGGTGGCTCACAGTTGAGCAAAAGGAAGTACAAACACACAGAGGAGTGGACATCTGCGTTTTCCTCTCCCCTGCCTCTTAATGCATCTGTCTCTCACTCTCCTTTGTTTTCTCTGCCTCCTTCTTCTCTTTTCTCAGCCGCTCTTCCTCTCCGTCTGTTTGGCTTTCCTGGGAGGGATCGAGTGGAAGGCTCACAGAGTTCAAGGGACTTCCCAGAGTTCACTCTGAGACACAACACGACAGGATTCTGCACAGGACGAAGCCCAGTGGAACAACCTTTACCAGTAAAAGTACCGCCCTAGCTCCTCGCCAACCAGTCACATGACTCCACCGTCTAACAGGGCACCCACTGACCCTCCTTGTAAATAACTTTCCTCCTAATCAACTGGATAATTGCTGCTATTAATCTCCAAGTCAACGTGACTTAAATGGAAAGAGGTCACGTCTATCTTTAGCTGAGAAAACATTTATTAGAGAGCGTTGACAGCTTTTGTCGGAGACTCTGTGCTCATCGTGTCTGTGCTCCTCCACCCAGCCCGTCGGTGGTGTTACAGCGGAGAGCGTGCACGGTATTCATCATGTCCTGCTGGGAGCGTGTTACTGTATGTGGTGACTGACAGCGCTGTTAAAACTGCACACGCAGCTCCCTCGGCCGACAGAGGAAATGCTTTCCTTTCGGGGGCTTTTCTCATTGTTGTGCGTTTCTTTTTCTCTCTTTTTCTCACATGGACCTGATGCAAATCTTTCAGCAGGCGAGAGGAGGGAGGGAGGGAGGGAGGGGGGGAGAGAGCGAGGGTCAAACTGTGGTGCAGGAAGAAAGAGAAAGCAGTTACAGTAATAAAGAAGTCTCTGTTTTATGGCGGGACACACACACACAGGCTAAATGGAAGGGTTACAGACAGCAACACACACTCTCCTCTCCCTCATTGCCGCCTCCTCGTTTCACGTCGTCTCGCCTCATCTCAACTCGTCCCCTCCTAAGTGTCGTCCTCCGTCGCCACTCGTCTCCCCTTGTTTTCGTCTCATGTTTTCTATTCTCTGACTTCACTCTTGTTTCATTTCCTTAACTTTAATTCCTTTTCTTGTTCTGTCTCGTTTCATCTCGCCTCATCTATCTCCTCTCCTCTGTTTCCTCTCCATTCCTCTCCTCTCCTCTCCTCTCAGATAGACATCACAGATCAGTAGATAAAAGCTTCTGGCCGCAGAGCAGCAAAAGTCAAACTTCTTGATGTGGTTCTGAGCGGGACCCTGGGATCTGTTGTTCTTTCAGCAGTGGCTCCGTGGCTCAGTGAGACAGATTGATCTCTCCTCCATATCCTCTATTTGTGGGTGTGTGTGGTGTGTTTATAAGTGTGTGTGAGTGGGAGACTTAAAGCGAAGCTTTGATGGAAGCAGTACAGATGTTGTATGTGTTCCTTCTTCCTCTTGTGCCATCTTAAATAACCACTTCCCCCGACCGTTGAGCGCTCCCAGGGCGGGAAAACAGACCGAGGACGGAGGCTAATGGAGGGTGAATGTGCAGGAGAGTGTCGGGCTGATCTGTAAAAATCTTAAAATGCTTCTTTTCACCTGATGAAACTATTCAACAGGAAGACAGAAAAGAAAAAATGTCCAGCTCAGATTCTCCGCTCTACGTGTTGTTTGTCATTCGTGCTCCTGATGCTGTTTTTTGAATTCCTCGAAGCTGTGGAATCTTACGCACGCATAAACTTCAGAGGTTGTTTACGTTCCGTGTTACTCATCAAAACTCAGCTGTGCTGCTCACCGTGTTTGGAAGTGATGGATCCTGTTGTTGTTGAACGACCTGGCTCAGGTTAAATCCTTTAAAAAACAAACACATGCAGAGAATAATTATTATTTAGTTTGATACAAATGAATAAATCTAAGAATACACAACAATCACTTCCTTTAATTACTTTGAAAATGAAGTCTTGGATACAGAAACATGAAATATTACCAAAGTGCTGACATGTTTACTTGCTCTGTTTACTACCGAAATAACTTCTTCTTCGCTGATCTAAAACCAGTACTTACCAGTGGCGGTACAGCACAACCGCTGTAGCAGTGAAGGAGAAGAGATTTCAGTTTTATCAGGGTGAAGCTAATGTATTTAAAGACGTGGTATCGGATCTGTACATAGTTCCATCATATGCAAACAAGAAAGTGATGATGTGAACAGCAAAAATAAAGCACAGCTCGAGGATTAGAGAATTAAAAAGTCAGTTCATTTCTACTATACACGTCAAAGAGCATAGAAACTACAGACTCCATTAAACCACGCTGCAGCTTCTCTATCAGAACACCAGTGGGTCAGTTATGTATTTACTGTTGCTCCTGATAATGACCTGATAATGTTTATACTGGTAAGTTTCTGTGGTTTGATTCCTCTTCTGTTTCTGTCAGATAGAGGCTGCGGAGAGTCGACGGGGGAAAAGTGTGAGAGGCGTGCAGCTGGATCACAAGAGGTAGGAAGTCTAATATTTAATCAGGTTCTATTTCCAACTTAGCAGCAAACGTTTGTAAAAACTTCGACCACGTCAGTGCAGAAGTGAAACTGAGACTCTGTTTAATGGATCTGTTGAAATGTCCGAGCTATAAACTCAAGCCAATAAGATTAATCGTTTGTTTTGTTCATCCTGTTGGAATAAAACTCGAATAACGACGTCAGTGGACGTTACGTGTCTGTGAGCACTTAACTCACCCGGTGGATATAGAAGTTTAAAAAGTTGTCAAACATCCTGCTCACTGACATTTGGAGCCTGTCAGCACGTTTTTTACGACGTTAGTTCCTTTTATGTGAACCTTGTTTCTTTGATTCGTCATATTTTGACAGGGTGAACTGCGCCTTTCTGGACAAACTCCAGGGTCTAGGCGTTGGGAGCGAGGGAGAGACGGAGAGGGAAGGTGTTCAGGAGGCCGAGTGGCCCAGTGCGGCCTCTAACGATTTAAAACACAAGCCGTCTCCATCGACCGGACAACAACTCCCCCCCGCTCACCTGAAACCAGATCCAGAGCAGAGCTGGACACAGGAAGCTGGTGAGCTGAGAACATGAATATCCCTCTCTCCTGTTTCTCACGCCTTTTTTTTTTTGTGGTGCAGCTAAGCGCTGGTTAACCGAACCTAAATCAGACATGACAAGAGCTGCCCACCTCATCCTTTCTTAGAAGACTGTGATTGTCTTGTTTAGTCTGCGTTAAATCCAAAGCTTTACATGCTGCAGAAATGCAGGCAGGAAGTTATGCGTGGTACGTAGTGATACTGTAGCTGCTGGCATTTAAATCCTGCTGGTACTTGCAGTTTGTGGGAAATGTCAGCGTGAGTAAGGAAGTCATTTCCTTTGCACTGAGCACATATCAAACATTTAAGTGTGAGTTTGCAGAGAGGAGGCGGCGCGTAGAAATCTGACTTTACAGACGCTGCGCGTCAAAGAGGAAAATTCAGCAGGAGCGATGAACCCAGGCCTGAACCGACAGACTCTCCGTCTGCAGCCAAGACAGACAAACCGTCGCGCCCTTATGAAACTGGCTCGCACTGACACCGAGTCTGATACCTGACTGGCTACCTATGAATACCTGCCATTCACGAGGAGAGAAAGAAAACAAACTCAGATCATCACGTTCATTACCTCCTGGATGTAAGCTTTTCCTGCGGCTGCATGTGTGTGCACGTCACGAAACTCATCCTCCATCTTTGACATTATTCTGTTTGACCGCAGTACAGACGGCGAGCGTAGGGCCACAGTCATTTTCACTGTTGATTGGCTTATTTCCTTCATTAACCAATTTCAATCTATAAAATGTCAGAAAATTGTCTCAGTTCAGAGACAAAAGAGTGAAGAGCAAGAAATCCTCTTTTTTTTGCTTGAAAACAACGATTATTCAGAATCTGACAATTACCTGGTGGATTGTTTGTGTCGCTGTTCGGATTAAAATAAATAAATCAGTTTAGTTAATCCTTCAACTCAGTGTCTAGTGCTTCAGTAGTTTTCCCAATTACAGCGACGTGTATGTACGTCGGCCTCCGCTCTCGCTGTACCTGGCTTTGTTAGGGGGCATGTCCTACCAGCTCCTAGGTGTGCATCATGCAAAATTCCGATGATGCAGAAGTAACGTCAGGACGAGGTGTTTCAGGAGCTTCTGTGTTTTCTGTGTTTGAGAGGAACAGACTTTGGACTCTCAGGAAACCTATACAACACAGTAGAGGAAAGAAACACGTCTCCTTTAAAGATGGAAGGAAAGTAGACACTAGTAGACGGAGAGGATAAAAGTCACATTCCATAAGTTGTTTTATTCCCTGAGTGAAGTTCAGTTTATGAGCCGTTCTTTGTCCTACTTCTCCAAAGCCTTTCATTATCGAATAACTGTCCATGAACACCAGATTTCACCAGAGCGAGGGTTAAAGCTAAAACACCCGAGAGCATTTCAAACCCCCAGTCCTGGCACGGCCGCTGTGGGTACCGCTAACTGCTTGTCGGAATCCCACAACATTCTGACTCCATGCTGGGCTGCAACCGTCGCTGTAGATCAGGTCTTTCAAGTTCTGTCATTACCTGTCCGAGCCAATCTCCTGTCCGGTCGGCTGATGGCCGGGTCTGACTTTCTGTGCACAGAGGTGAACACCATCTGATTACTGCTGTTGGATCGGTCTGTGGCTGTAAATCAGCAAAAATGACCACTAACTTAAAAATGGCTGACTTCCTGTTGGGTGAAGCCCATTGCTCCAAAAGGCTTTTTTCAAAAAAATCTGGATTGGATTCGTGTGTCTTTGAATTTTCATTCGCAAAACGTGCTGGTGTTGAATCCGCTGTACATTTCAGAAGTACATTTTCAAGATGAGTGAAGTTTTCGAGCACGAGAGCTTTCCACTTTTTTCCACTTCCTGTTTCACATTGTGAAACAGCAACGGCCATGAAGATTTCATGAAAACCACAATCTTTGATAACTGTTCACCGGGAAACGTGTGGAGGGGACGTTTAGCCACACCCATATACCAGACGGATTTCAATCATAGAATTGCAGTTCATTCAGAAGAACGTGTCATATTGATGGCAAAGTTGGTGCTTGAGCTCTAATACTGTTTCCTGTGTGATTTCCAGAGCTGGATCCAGACCATGACTGGGACCTGATGAAACTGATGAACAGATTTCCAGACTGCAGCCAAGTCTTCCTGCAGGATATCCTCCTCCAGTGCAACGGCGACTTTGAGGAGGCCTTAACTCTGCTCACCTGCACGTTCTCTTGAATTTCACGCTTCTTCAATGGGACAACAATATTGTGTTTGGTGGTTCAGGAGTTGCAGCAAATAAAATGTGTAATCAGCGTTGTGACGTTTCAGAAAAGCTAGAAATCGGTGATGGAAGAAATCAACTGCATGACATGTACCTACAGGGGAGCGTCTCGTAATGTGTTTTTGATTATGCTATTAATCACCGAGTGGTTGTATCTGTCTGCTCCGGTGAGTCATGTTGGGATGTTGCCCCGACAACGAGCTGATGAGCGTTTTCACCAGTTTAGTTAAAGGTCATCGCCATGACTCATCAGCTTCAGATCATATTTTGGGCTCTTAATTAAATCAGTGTGTGCAGATGGAAAAATGCTCGACCCAAACACATGATGTCTTTTGTTTGTTTTATAATCAAAGTCACATGTGATGCATCTATAGCAGGATTTTTTAAGGACAAGGAGAGATTCAAATACCAATAAGATTAGAGTCCAAGGCTGCACTTCACAACATTCTCAAACTAAAACGATCCCCTGTGTCCCTCTTGATAAGCAAGAGGATGTGTGTGTCCACGTCATCGCTTCTGAACATCTCACTTTCTGCCCGTCCAGACAAAAACGCAGCCACAGAGTGTTTTAAGCTAAAACAGGCCGAGCGCCATCTCCATATTTGTATCTAGTGTGGACGCCAGACATATCCGTAGCAGAGTTCGTGTGTTTCCAAACACAAACAGCGTAGTGAGGACGCAGCTCAAGTCGTAAAATCCTCAGACGACATCCATAAAACACCCTTTTGTGAATTCCTGCTGTTTCAGTTTGTCCGGTGCGCTGATAAAAGCCGGGTGGGGTTTCCAGGTGGGTCGGAGCTAAAATTGGCAGCTTTGTATCGCGGCTGAGCAGAGAAGCAGCGGAGATGTTATCACCTGACCGAGGCAACAAAGAACAAAGGGTGGTGCTCTCGACACGGGGGACCGACAAAATCCCCTCTTCTACTCTAGCATGAAGTCATTCAGGGCTGATGTCATCCAGAAAATGCCTGAACTCGTGTCAGCTCTGCACATGTGAGGATTTTAACAACAAAGACTACAAAGATCTCCCATAAGTTAAATGTAAATCGTTTGTGTGGAGCACCTTTAAAAATCTGCACCAAATTCCTGAGTTCTTTCCAGGACACACCAGAGGAAATTACTGGGAAAATTGAAAAACAAACACAGAGCTGTAAATTTAAGCATTACCATATTTTCTTCATCAACAGCCTGTGAGGAAAAAATGTGACGATAATAAGGAAAGATTTGTGAACCCACTTTTTCCCCAGAGAGACAGAGGAGCTACGAGTTTGACCTGGAAATACCCACAATACCCTCACACTGGGTTCATTAATTAGCGGCAGTTGCTGGTAAACATATTTTTCAAGTTTGCAGAGAGCCAAGCTAACCGTTTCCCCCTGCTTCCAGTGTTTATGCTAAGCTAATCACCATCTGGCTCTGCTTCCTTCCAATAATGTGTTTGTAAAGCAGATAATCCCACATAACGTCAGATTACAATGTGGCCACAGTCAAATTCATTTTAAAAACCCCTCAAAGTTCTCACTAATGTGATAATGTGATGTTGTCATATCACGCAGCAGTTGGTGGAATAACAATTTTGGAGGAATAGATTTATTTGTGTTGCTTAAACTAAAATTAAGATTAGCTCAGAGTAAATGTTGAGATTAGGCCTTAATCTGCAGTGTTGTGTAAGAATGTGTGTTTTTTTTTTACCAGTAAACAGGAAAAACCTCAACCTGACCTGGTTGTGTTTTCATGTGTGTGGTCAGCGGTGCACCGAGAGGTGGGGACGTGCCGCTGCTCTGTCGCCTAATCAATACACTTCAGTGTCTCTGAGCGGACGAGACGCTGGCGTGGGAACGTATCACATGACGTCTCCTCGGGCTGTGAGGATCTCTTACAGGGCGGCTCAATCAGATCTGATGGAAACAGCTCTGGGAGCGAGAGCAGTCGATCTGTGGCCTGTTCCAGGAAGCAGGTTTTACTCAGTTATCTGGACAAAAGCATGAAATCCCCTCAAATTTTTTACATGGGCTGAACTTGTTTTACTTCACCACATAACTCGGTCAACCTGCTTCTGGGAAAAAGCCCCGAACTCGTCTGTGACTGTCAGGCTTGTGCAGGTTGCATGTTGTATCTTAAGAGATGAAAACTGGTTCCAAGTTTATTTGGTTATCTTCGCTGATATATTTCATTATTTTTCGTGAATTTTAAGCAGAACTTTACAAAGACCGTGAAGAGTTACATCATTATCCTGCAGAAAAACTCCGTCCAGCACTGGAATATTTCATCCCCACCTCTCCATGGGTTCTTAATCTCATCCAAATTGCCTGCCGCACCACAAGCAGGACGCTGCTTCGTGCCCTGCACCAAAAAAATAGCTCATGGTGTCGGAGACCAAACTCAGAGCAACATTTATGGGTGTCAGCCGTAAACCAATGAGAGAAGTAACAATGAAACATAACGTGAAGTCAGAAAGATGCTAAACTGGCTCAACCTCAGCTACACCTGTTCGATGTTTGTCTCCAAAATGTGCGAGATGTTTTTTAATTTTTTTCCTCTAGTGTATTATAACGTTTAGCAAAGATCCCAAATCCTGTGCTAAAGGGAGCAAAGCTAAAGTTCAGCATAAATGAGACAGGAGCTAAAGACCTAGTGTTTGAGACAGAGTCTGAAAGGAGGAGCTGCAGCGACAGTCTGAGGGAAGCGATGTGTTTCCTGAGCATCAGAGCTTGTTAATAACTCAAACTAAAATTATCATTATACAAATATAATACGTCTCCTTCAATCAGCAGAACCTTCACTTTAACCAGAAGTAGTTTCAGTCGACTCATTCCTCAACCACAGTCATCACAGACCAAAACAAAAACCCCTAACCTATATTAGTCATTTCGAAGCCCTTGACAAGTGACCTACTTTGGTCAGTAGGTTCATGTTAACAGTTGTTTTTGCAGGAGGAACCAGAAGAGGGGCGAGGTTTGGTCCAGCAGGAGGAGAGGAAGAGGGCAGGTGCAGGAGGAGAACGATTCTTTCCCAGAGCTTCAAAGTAGAGCGGTCAACACCCAAACTGCACAAAACAAACACACACAAGTACCACACGGACACACACTCGGGGGCCAACACACAAAACACCCACATCACTCCCAGAGGAGAGACGGATACTGATCTTTCCTGTCTGTTCACCGGCATTATTCTTGAACAGAGATGAGTCACAGCGAACAGGAAGAGCAGCGTTTTCACTCTCATGCTAATGCTCTGCATGCAGGTCTTCCGTTTCCGCCTCATAGCCAGTGTGTGCGTGTGTGTGCACGTGTGTGTGCATGTGTGTGTGTGTGTGTGTGTGAATATGGACTCCAGTGAGATCAAATAAAAGTGGGATTTGTTTGAATAAACTCAAAGGCTGGAGCTTGTATTCATTACCTACATTGGGTCCAGCCAGGCCTCACAGCTGCAAAAACCATTACAGCTCAGCGTCTCTGAGCCTCAGGGCGAAGATAAACACTTTAGACTCTTCAAGGAATTTGTTTGAGCCAGATTATGACAAACTGGGCTCCAGACCACAGACAGGTAAAAGTCTGTGACCGCTCCTCTACAGGGCGTCCAGAGAAGACTCCGCATGACGACAGTAGTTCTGGAAATCCTGTAAAGTCATTTGACGTGTCCTCTTTGTGGATGTTTTGTCTCTTCCAGGTTGTTCTGCATCTCCTCGTGCATCAATTTGAAGCTGGTTTCTCTCTTTAAATGATAGCGTTGCATCTCTTTATTGTGGCTGAGTGTCTCTTTACGCTTGTTTTGCTTCACTTTGCAGTTTCATGTCTTCGAGGTCATTCGGCATCAGTTTCTGTTTGATCTCCGTTAGTTTGTTGTCGTTTCATGAGCCTTTATGGTCATTTTGTGTCTCTGTGTGTTGTTGTCGTCTTTTTGCATGAATACATTGATTTTTGTGTGTGTTTCTTTGTGGTTATGAATCAATGTGAGATTTTGATTTCTCTCCTCTCATTGTCGTTTTTTGTCTCTTTGTGGTTTCTTTGTGTCTGTGTGTTCCTTCATCAATCTGATCTTGTGTTTCTTTGGGGTCATGTTGTGTCTGTGTTGTTTCTGTGTGTTTTTGTCCTCTGTATAAAATTGAAGTTGATTTGTGGTCACTTTGTGTCTCTATAAATGTTGTCTCTCCTTATGGTCATTTTGTGCGACTTTACAGTTGCTTTGTGTCTCTTCATGTAATTTTTTCTCATTTTGTGGTTGTTTCTGAAACAAGAAATAATAAGTCAGCTAAAACAGAAGCTGTGGTCCAGCTCTTCCCTGACCTCTCGGGCCCTTGAGCCTGGTGGTTGTTTGTTAATCCATGGTTTGATTTCTTGGACTCTTACTGCAGCAACATTTATCCAACTTCAGACTTTTCTTTTTCTAACTTTCCTTTGAACAATTGTCGCTGTTTAAGTCACTGGACCACCCAACGTTTTTCTTCTCTGAGGATGAGCTGTCCCCCTAGAGGACGACCATTACCTCAGCACATGACACACACACTCACACACTCACACACTCACACGCGGATGCAGAGGCCCACAAACAGTTGTGCGTTGAGTTGGGGGATTCCCAGTGGGTGGTTCATAGTCAGAATGAGGTCACTTCATTCTGTAGTGATACACACACACACCCCAAAACTTCTGGGTGAAAATTACAGTGAAGTTTCTCCACTTGAGATACACCCGAACGCCACGCAGCCACGAAGCTCTGGAGATTAATAAATATTGGATCGAAAAGCACAAGCAAAATCTTGATTAGTCGGAAATCACCTTCATTTGTTTTTATAGCTCTGGAGATGAGTTATTTGAATTCTGCATTCAATCATGGAGAGAGCCCATGCATGACCAGTAATATGAACACTTCAAGTTGTACGTCAGGCTCGTTCTCTGCCAAACAGACGCCGAGCACGAGAAACAACATTCTGCAGCGGAGCCAGGATGACGATAACCTCTGAGCTGGTTTAGTTAACTGATTCTTATCTCAGTATCGACCTGTAGAAACAAATACATCCGAAGAACTAGAATAGAGGGTTGTTATGATGTGAAGCTTTAAGGACAATGAATCAAACATCAATCAACAAATAAAGATAAGAAGTAATAAATATCATAACTTCTTGTGATTGGTCCAAAAGTCTGAACGTTGTCACTAAACTTTGGTCCGTTGGTCTGAGGAACCTGTCACACCTGATATCTTGTTTCCAGGAAAAGTCTGAAGCACTGAACCAAACAAGGAAGAAGTTAAAGTTATTTTTATCTTCACTACAAACCAAACAAGGTACTTTGAGGTGCCTTCAGCTGAATGTTAAGAATGCTAACAATGGTGCATTCTTTCCTTACGTTGGAATTTGGCTGAATAGTTTCCACAGTTTTCTCCTCAGGAGGTCGGCCAAGTTTCCCCTGTTCAGACATTAAATTACAGCATCAGACCGTCTTTGACTACGTCTGTGTTTTTTAAGATGTTTTAAAGACTTTGTGTACAACAGAGATAAATAATAAAAGACTTTAGGTCCATTTAGGTAAATAAGTAATTCTTCACCCTGCAGATACATCATTATGTTTTACATCATTATGTTTTATGTGCTCGAGTCATTACATTTTTTGTGTTGATATATCAAACACCCTGTGTTCCACATTAACAACAACACCAGAGACGTGAATACAGTTTCAGAACAAAACCAAAACAATGTTCTGGTTCTGTGTAATCCACAGACCTCACTGGGCAGCTTCTAGAAATTAGTTCCAACGAAAACTGTTCCCAGTCTGTCGGTCATCCACACACATTCTTTCTAGGAATAGACGAACCTCTTAAATTTGTCAATTGTCATTTTTCAACACGTTGAAGACCACAAGCACAATTCCGGTCACCTCCACTGAAATCGCACAGAAGGATATTTCAAAACTTCAACACATCATGAAACCAAAACTATTCTGCACGGTCAGCGAGAAGCAAACAATGTTTTTCTGTGAATCGCTTATACGGGTCCTTTAAATTACTTCCACTAAGTGAAGCGGTCAGCTGACTTTGGCCTGATGTCCATGCAACTTGAGGTTATTTCTGCATCCAGGAGACAAGACATACACTGTGCCGCCTGGGTGCTTTTTGGTTTTGTTAGCACCCAGCCTGCTCCTCTTAGACTTTACATACGGGGCGTAGTGGTGAGTCTGCAGCAACTGTCAAAAAACATTTCCTGCAGCGAGGAATACGAGGTATAACCCAGTTAACCTCTGAGAGAAGCAGATCATGCAATCACCTAGAAATGCACGTGATGAATGCAAGCATGCAATGTGCATACAGTGACATTCCTGCTTTTACTTTATATCCCACCCCCCCCACACACACACACACCATATGCACTCAGAAACAATGTCCAACCACAACTGAGTCACTTCACTTCCTGAGGGAAAGATTGGCTCCACAAGAAGGGCAGAGAAGGCGCACCTCAACTGGCCGAGAGCGCTGACAGCAGCACATGTCCTGTGCAGCGTTCCCACACACTCTGCTCAAAATCATCCGCTGGCACACACTTCCTACTCATCACAAAAAAAAACGGCCATAAATTATCAGAGAAAACATTCAGCCTGGAGAGACGTGAAAAAAACCTAAACGTAACCTGCACTGATATGCATCTAATGAAAAGAATATGGAAGTCAAAGAAATGGAAACTGGAAATGTAAAGAAGAGTTGCAGGAAACATTTAAAATTCTCCAG